TTTTTCTTTCCCCCCCCCCCCCCACCTCTTGCAAAGAAGCTATAGATACCTGCCGCCTTGCATGTTGGAAACGAGCCAAAACCGGATGTGGGGTTACTGCTCTCGCTGTACACGATGCAAGCGAAACTAGCTGGAGGCTTCGGCATGAGAGCTGAGTCGTATGTGTGGTTTTTTCGGCAAGTGTAACACTGACGTACATCCGGCACTGTTCCTCCCCCGTCGTTTCTTTTTTTTTGTTCTTTTTTTTTTTGGTTCTCCCACGACTCCTCTTTTCCATCGCCCGTGTTGCCTGCCACGCCCCAAGCAACAGGCGGTGACTTGATGACTAGCGTATCTTACACGTTGAGGCCCCTCGCGGGTGCCGGGCCGCGACGCCGCGCTCGGTGACATGGAGGATGACAGAAAGTACAGCGAACTCCGCGATTTTAGGGATGACTCCTTATCCTTATCCTCCTCGCGCAGTCTCCCAGGCACAAAAACACACCGCGACGAGGCGCCTACTTTTTCCACCACGGCCTCCTCCACGAATAGTTTCTTTTGCCTGTGGCCAGTTAGCGGGGAAAAAAACCACTGCACATCTCCACCTGGCAAGCGCTCGCCCACAAAGCAGAAGTTTCACAGATGCTGCCCCTCGTCCTCCCCCACGTCTGCCAAGCGGCTCACCGGCTATAAAGCTGGGATCGTCTCCCCAACGACTAACTCTCCGCCGGTAAATCCATGATGCTACCTGCCCAAGCACTAGACGAAAATGTGTAGCAAAAAAAAAAAAACAGCAAACAGACATGCGGCAGCCGTCCTAGTAAGAGGGAGGGGGGTCTCCACGACGTTCTAACACTTTTTAACTCTATGCATGAGAATAGGCTGGGAAGAAACCCCATCCACAATATCAATCCATCGAAAAAAAACAAAAAAAAAAAGGTAGAGGAGGGGGAGAAACGCACACAGGCGTGTGTGTACCCCTCCTGCCGTGTCACATCACTACCCAATGCATCCCATTGGGCGTACTCCCGTATATTGACACCTTTTGGTATCCCGCAATGTAACAAACACAATCCACCCCTCCCCTAGTCCATACTGCTCGAAAGAAGAATTTGATGTTGTTGTTTTTTTTTGTTGTTGTTGTTTTGCTTTTTCTCCTCCTTGAACATCATACCCGCTTCTCATTAAGCTTTCCTCAACGGCCTACACCCCTCCCTCCTTCCGGCAGATCAAAGCCTGATAAATTCCCCTTTTACGTCGCATCTAGCCGTACCACTATTTTTTCTCATATGTTTACTATAGTCAGGAAAAAAACGTCTTCACAGCCTCAACCACGACGTTGGCGGCATTTTCAATCTCCTCTCGGGTTGCCTTTCCCTTCACAAGGATTCGCAGTGCCGGAAAATTCTTGCACTGCTCGTCCTCAGAGTAAAGATGCCGCAAGAGCAGCACCTTTCTTTCCCTCGCCGCCCGTACAACTTCTTCCAGCTCCTCTTCCACACTCTGAGCGTGGTTCTTCACATACGCGTCGGTGGGCCGCAGCACCAGAATAGGTGACACATCCCCCTCGCACTCCACCAAGCGTATCTTGCCGGTGTTGAGTCCAGCCTGCCGAAGGATCAGGCGGAACAGCTTCGCATTCGCCTGCAGCTTCTCTGTGTATGTGTGGTCCTCGTTGAGCAGGGTAAGCGAGACGGAAATGGAGGCCGTAATATAGGGCGGCAGTGACGCAGAGAAAACGTATGCCGAAGCAGCAAGGCGCTGGTAGTCCACCACCGCTCGCGTCCCGGCGCAAAACCCGCCAACACCGCCCAAGGAAGTGCTCAAGCTTCCCACATACAAATCAATGCGTGTCGCTGGGATACCAAAGTGTTCATGAGTACCGCGGCCCGTCGAGCCCAGACAGCCAAAACCGTAACTGTCCTCCAAAATAATACGAAATTTGTATTGTTCGCATAGCTCAAGTATGCGTGGTAAATGGCAGATGTCACCAGTGTTTTTAAAAAGACCCTCCGTAATAACAAAGCGTCGCGATAACTTTTTTGCAGCACGTTCCTTTTCCTCAACTTCTTTTAGAAGTGACTCAAGGTGAGTCATGTCGCTGTGGCGGTACCTGTAAACTGTGGCCCGGGAGAGGGCGCATCCGGCCGTGATAGACAAATTGACGCCGTCGTCCGCGATGATGTACTCCCCTCTTCCCACAAAGCAGGAGATGAGAGTAGACACCGTGGCAAACGAAAGACTGGAAATGATGGCGTCCTCCACGCCAAGAAACCTCGCCAAGCCTTTCTCCGCATCCATGTGGGGTTTGATGGTGCCGTAGAACCCGCGAGGTCCACAACTTCCAACACCGTACGCCACCACCGTCTTTCTTGCCACATCCAGCACGGTGGGATGCGTTGAAAAGGAGTGGAAGTCCTCGGTTGCCAGGTCAAGGCACTGCAGCAGATTCTCGTCCGCCGCGTTCTGGATGGTCACGTAGCACCCCTCCCTGGAGTCCACCCTGGGCATATCCGGTCTATTGGGTACAGTGGCGTTGGTGGCCGTCTTACTGTTGGCTTGGAGCATCTGCGATTTAAACTGTGCAATGCGGCGCTCCTGTTCCTCCAGTGGTGGTATTACCGGGGCAACCACCTTCGACTCGTTTTTACTTCTCCACACATACTGCACCCAAAGAGCAACTGCCAGGGCGGCGGTAAACACAATCTCAAGTAGAATGTGGAACGGATGCTCCACAATCTGCGTGACCACGAGCGAAACAAAGGCAGCCATGGCCATCCCTGCTCTATCACATGCAAGTTATGAAGGAGAGGAGCTCAAGTAAACTAGTCTTGAAGAATAAAAATAAGTAAATAAATAGATAAACATCATTATCCATGCATGAACAGCGTATCTTGCATGTGGCATACTCCACAAACATGGGCACAAACACAGAGACAGAGGCAAAGGCAGAAACAGAGGGGAGTGTACAGGGAGATCTATGAAGGAAGCCCCAACAAGAAACAGCAAACGTCACACTAGTGCAGCAAAGAGGAGACAAATGTGTTGTACTCCAAACGACGCACGCGGTGTAGCATCACCCAGCGGAAGAAATAAACCTGTAAAAGGGGCATCATGTTACACGCTTCAAGCTGCAACGCAACGACAATGCGAACAAGCCACAGCTTCCACTTTCGAAACGCCCGACGCGCCACACGCCAGTAAGCCTTGTGCCCAATACGACAGAGTGCCTTACAAACGTAAGCGTATCGCCGCCAACGCAGGAAAAAACCCGCACAAACGCCTCCAGAGTTCGCCTTTCCTCGTCCCAAACAACAATGTGACGGGAAACAAGCAGGCTCCACTTCTGTAGTGTGCGTCTAGCCAGAGAACGGTAGGCCGCATGCGCAATATGTCTCAGCTGCGTTGTGTGCCAGTTCCTCTGTCGCCATCGCACCCATGTTGTAAAGTAGCAATACGCCAAACGAATTGTGCGGGACTCGGATACAGCTGCCAGTCTCCGACGCAGTTCGACCCGTCGTTTCACCGTGGATCGCCACCGAACACAGTAACGCCTCGCCAGAGTCCGCTCAGCCTCGTAGCGTATACTACGCAGGCAAGCAAGCTGCTTGGACTGTTTCCGCCGCAGCCGCACTTCCATCCGCCACCGCTGCCAATAGCGATGGACAAGCGATACAGCTGCATCTCGCACAATTGTGTTTTTCAGGTGTCGTACGGCAGCGGCGCAAGAGGCAAAGAAGAACCACTTGTAAAACGTGGAGAGTAAATGGCTCGTCACAGCCCGCAGTCGTATTCGCTGAAGGGCAACTAGAACATGACGCTGCTGAACCCAGCGTCGCCACATAGCCATGTAACGTCGCACAAGTCCCAGCGACTCCCGCACGCGCTCAACGCAGCGCAACGCCACTGTTGTTGTGGATGTTTCTCCCGGCGCCACCTCCGCAAGCGATAGCGACGTCAAACATGTAGCAACTGTGCCTGTGGTCGGGGTGCCGCGACCCCACACGGGCCTGGTGGTCATGTCACCGGCTTGAGGTCCAAAGTTGAGAGACGTCAACGAGCCGCGTTCGCCCAATGAGGCGGTCCCCCAGCGTCGCGAGCGCATCCCCCTATGCGGCGACCCCCCCCCTCCCACTGCGAAGGCAAAATCGCACCCGACGCCGCAGTGAAAATAAGAAGAAACAATGTCAAAAAGGACACAAAGAAAAAAAGCCAAACGGCATACGGCTAAAGAATTCCTCAAGAAACACAACACGCAAAAGAAAGCAGAAAATACAAGAAGAAACAAAGAAGTGGTGTGTCCCCCCATTCATCTTCCGTTGAAAACAGTCGCTGGACCTCATTCAGTTTATGCGATGTTTTTTGCGGTGCCGCGGCGGCCGCCCCTCTAGAAAAGTCAACACTTTGCATGCAGCGGAGCAAGCGCCGCTCGCGTCCACCGCGACTGGAAGCGTCCCATGCTCGTCTTCAGTCTGAAGTGTCCAGCCCTCCACGAAGACGACAAAGGCAGAGATATCGTCAAAAGAGTTCACACTGGCGGGGGCAGCGTTGTCCTCCTCTGCCGCTTTCTCATCCTTATCAGGAGCAGGATCCCGCGCTGGATGTTGAAGCTCTTCCACTTTCTTCGAAAGATGAATAATGTAATGCAGAACGGCGTCCCCAATGGGGTTGGGGGCCCCACACAGGGACTGGGCAACGAGAGCGTGCAGGCATTTAAGATCCTTCGCGTGACCCACTGCGGCGTTTCCGTACTTGCGACCACCTGCAGACTCAGGGAGGGAAACAAAGTGCGCATCAAAAAACGTCCACCGCTCGTCGCTCAGCAGTGCCCGTGCATGTGCCTCGTAACGTGCATGGGAAGCCACGTGACGAGCGGCCACCCTGGCATTTCCGTCCACGAGCCGCTGCAGCGCGCTGACCGCACCTTGTCGCTCCAGCCGTGCCACCATGGTGTTCAGGTACGGGCAGGTAAGCCAAAAAAGGGTGGCACCCACAGCGGCACTGCGACCGTTCCGGCCAACTTTGCCCGCGGTCGAACACAACACGGCAGCGCCTCCGTGTAGCTCGCAGGTGGCCAACTCCACATCCGCCACGCGGTAACTCTCCTGGCACGCTGCCGCCTCGAACGGACTTTGCTTACTGGCGGTGCCCGATATCAGCATTGACAGCTGGTAACAACATTAAAAAACGAAAAAGAGATGAGAAGCATCTGATTGAAGTTTACATGTGCCCAGCGATTCCACAAAAACAAAACAAAACAAAAGAAAAAAGTACATGGAAGTCGCGCATACACATAGATAGGTAGATATAAAAACCAAATAATAACAATAATAAAGATGTTTTATTCTACTGTTATCATTCCCCTCAAACTGTACATGTAGCCTGCACTAAACCTCTACACAACCCTAATACACCGCTCTCTGCATCACCGCTGCGATTCGTGCTGAGCTTCGCCAGCAGCAGCAGCAGCAGCAGCAGCAGCATCAAGCCTATCAGACGCGCCCGCTTCCTTGGCTGATTTCGTAGCCAATCCGTAAATTTTGTTGATTTCATCAACCGTAAATTCCCGCTTCTTGGGCATGGCCAGGTGCGTCACATATTCGCGTATATGCGAGGACTTCTTGTGAATCACTGGGGGTCCGACGTATAGGTATCGTTTCCTGTTCTCTTCCATAATTGCCTTCTTCCGCTCAATAGACTGCGTATAAAGACATTCTACGCTTTTTTCTACTTCCTCAGCGGGCAGCTTGCGTGTTTTGTAGCTTTCCTGAATGCGTGCCTCGCGCTCCTCACGCGCCGCCTGCCGCACTGCCATCTCCTGATTCACCTGCCGCATGACACTGTTTTCTATTGTTTCTTTGGTAAGTCGCTTTGGCGGCATTGTGGGATAAAACCGGGTTTCCAGCTCTCGCAGCGTTTCCTGCCGGTGTGCCATGGATTGATCATGCAGGCGGGCAACCAGCCGTTCCTCCCGCTCCTTCGTCAGCTTGGCAAGTGCGGGGGCATCGCCCTCCTCCAGATACATCGCCGCAAGAGTACTTCTGACTACCCAAACGAGCCTTATCTGGCGTCACGCAGAGAGAAAAAGGGCAACACACCAATAAGCAAATAAACAAAGGGGGAAAAGCCCCAGATAACAGTACGCCCCGGTCACACTCAATCTGCCGTCACCGCCAGAAAACGAAAAGGAACCAAAAACAAAAAAAAGAGAAACACTGTATCCCCCCTACTGTTTTCACAGAAAAGGAAGGGGAAAGATCGCAGTAGCGCATCACTCGTCCCTCCCCAACTCGCATAAATGCTCCACCAGGCAACATCGTCTCAAGTGAGACGCCCAAATGATAACACAAGAGAAACAAAAAAGGGCAGGGGACTCAACCCCAGTGACAAAAACAAAAAAAAACACACACACACAGTGACGAATAAAAACAAGGGAGCCACGAAAAAAACACACCGCGAGAGAGACGGCGGCAAATACGTCGCACGTTACGCAGCGGCACTGCGCAGCGGTGGCCTCCACACGCTTTTCCAGCGCTCCCAGGCGGCGAGAATGTCTTTGTTGAACTCAAAGTAATGTTGTAACGATTTATGCAACTTGGCGTCAATGTCCACGACACCAATGCGTAAAATACTTGCGGTGGGAAAACCAAAATCCACAAAAACACCACCATATAAACTCCTCCACTGGGTCAGTTCCAAAGACCGTCTACTCCCTGTTGGCCCATCGACGGCGGTTGTGGGTCCAGCTGCAGCCGCCACATTCCCCTTCGACAGTGACACCACCACGGACACATCGTTGGCCGTGGTCGAGACATAAAAACGATCGATGCATTCCCTTAGCCCCATTGGTGGAGAAAGAAGATGTATAGTAGTAATGTCCTCCGTTTGCCCTTCGTCCATTGTGACTGCATGTATGCCACGCTGGCAAGCGCATTCCACGTTCAAAAAGGCCGAGGCCTCCGATTCACGCACAATCCACCGCACACTCGACATGTCTCTGGCACAACTCCACTGATACAAAAGTTCAATGTCCAGCACTTCCCAGTCCGAGTGACTGGCAGAACCGTACAGCTGTAAGTTTGCCAATACCCTAAAAACGTCTGATTCATGTAACGCAGTGGACAAATCTTCAAGTTCCGCATCGCCAATCTCACCCAAAGGATTTTCAACGGGAATAAAACGGAAATTATTTGCCGGACAACGAATCAATTGCCGTAGTCCAGCTGCCACAGACGTTTGATCCCCCAGTAGTAGCATGTTGGGACAGTACACGGAGTCTCTTTCACCTGGTAGCGCCATTCCCACCCTACGTTGTTCACGTTTAAAGACCTGCATAAGAGAAAAACGGCATTGTTGGAGCTTTACTGGATTAATGTAATATTTGACGCCATCCACAACGATGCCAACCACACGCGGGGATCGCCACACCCCCTTTGGCTTAATTTCTACAGCCAGCCATTGTGACCCGCGTCTACCCTCCATCAGAAGAACTGGATTGATTGCAAAGTTGGGAATGAGGTTGGCGTGCCCTGCGCCCTCGCAGTGTTGCCGTAAAGACGGGGAAGCAGCGGCAGCACATCTCTTCACAAGCTCCTCCGTCAGTGAAATTTCATGCCGAAATCCGACGTATCTCGCCAGGGCCTGTTCGCACGTCAAGCATACAAAAGTGATTTGTTTACTTAGCCGTAGCGCAAAGCGGCTTCTCAGCCGGTGCGACACGTTTCTTTCCCTTGCAATTAGTTCCTCGGCGAGCGAAGCAATAACCACCGCCGCCTCTGTTATGCTCTCTTCCCTCTTCTCTTCTCCCGCCGCCTCGTCGTCGTTGTCGGGCAGCGCGAAGACTACACTACTACCCCCCACTCCAAGGAGGCGCATCGCCTTTAGAAGCAAGCAGCAGGGAGGCGAGAGAACAAATCAAAAAAAAAATTGTTAATAAATAAAAACTGCGTGTGAAGCATCTGTGCAACGGCGCATCGGTTGGCTCCCTACCAACAACACCACCAGCAGCACCCAAATACACACAGACAAGCAAGCACACCCAACGGTGGCACCCATCGTTTAAAAAAGGAGGAAGAGGCTGCAAGACGGACCCCACCTCCCCTCACACAGATTTTGAATTCAACTTTTGTGCCGCCTCCACCAACGCCACGTAAGGCCTCGCCGCGGCTGAATCTCCGTGTGTCCGTTGAAGCAACTTTAACGCGCGAAGAGACTCCTCCCACGTCCAGTTGGCGCACAACTTCGCCAGGCGCTCTTGTGAGACCGGGGACTGAGAAAGCAACGTCAGGGCCTCCAGCCACCTCCCACCACCAAGTCCCGGGTCACTCCACAGAAGCACCTGATCGGGTCTCGGTTGTATAAATTTCCCCGTGTTTAGAAGCAGCGTCATCGCGTCCTCGCTGTCTCGCAACGCAAAAACAAGCAAAGATCGCTCAACATCGTTGGGTTTGTGTAGGCACTTGAAGAAATACAGCGCGGTCTGCGAGTCACTCGTGTGCAGGGCGGCGACCCGTAGCAATCGTGAGACAATTGCAGCTGGCACCGGCACCTGCAGGGCGCGGCTCAGTTGGCGGTAGAGGAATCCAACGATGAACAGCGCGGCGAGGGGGCTTTCCTCGCGAAGGGGCGAGGGAATACTCTTCCTCCCCTGCCTCCCCAAATATACAAACTTAGAGTCCTCCACCACCTGGTTAAAGACGCGGCGAGCAATAGGCCACACCTGGAACTTCCGCCACGCCTCATCGTCAAAGTGGTGCAACACATTCTTGAGAAAAGCCACAAACGGGCGAAGATAGGTCGGGCTCCTCTTGTACTCGGTAACCACAAGTGCGTGGTAGCGTGCAAGAGCCTTTATGGCTGTAACGAGGTCTCCACGCACAATGGCACGCTGGTGCAGAAACACACTGTGCAGCAGAAAGGAGTGGGGAAACCAGGACGCTATCTTCTGCACAGCATCTAACGGAATAGATGGCTTTGTACAGAGAAGGAGCGACCAGTGCTCTTCCACCACTTCCCCCCTTTCCATAAGATCCGTCAGCGCCGTCAGTGCCTGATTCCAAGACAATAGTGGAAGGAGTCTTTGTAAGCCATGCTCATCCACGTCCAAGGCACAAAACGAAGAAATGTTGGAGGCCCTCACAACATGCTGCATAGATTCTGCGGAGTGGAGCAAGGCACTGCATGCCCCTAGAACACGCCGCCGCCATAACATTTGTTTTTCATCAAAATGTGATTTACCCCCAGAAGAAGCTTGTATTAGCTCATCCTGGGCCAACCGAATATCGCCCTGAAGGAGGTCTTGTAGAAGCAACACCCAGTTACTACTCACATGGTCCTTCTGTAGTATGTTTAGAGCCCTCCTCGCCACTGAGCTCGGAGCTCCATATGCCACAACGGCAAAGGAGTCCGGATAGGGTCGGCTTGTGCGTGCAACCAGAGCGATCGCACGCTGCCACTGCCCACCTAACACCAATGCATTCACGCTGCTCTCCAAGGCCTCTGGATGTGCCATAAGATGCTGCGACGGGATAGAAAGGGCAATACGGGTCGTCGTGGCGGCGTCCATGCGGTGGAAATAATTAGCTGCGCGCATAACTGCGAGGGGAAGCGCGTGGCGGTCGGCTGGCGCTAGCCGTACCTTACCACCCGCAAGGCACCGCGCAATCTCCCGTAGGAATGCTCCCGCTGTCAAGTTCCCGGCGGCTCGAAGATGCTCCACCACCATGCCGCACAACGTATTGCAGGCTTCCCGACGCGTCACCACCTCAGCGGATGACTGAAATGTCACGTAGCGCCCCGAGGGGCACGGCTCCGACGCAGGCAGTTGCGCCACCCCGAAATGGTGTTGACGCAATGCACGGGGAATAACTTGTATAAAGTAGCGCTGCGCCTTTACTCCAGCGGCACGGCAAACAACTCTGGAGAGCTCCTCACTCTGAAATGTAAAACACTGCACGCCGTACTTATCCTCTTCTTTCTCCCCCGTTTCACCCTCTCCAGCAACGGTGAGGGAGGACAAACGTCTTGCCATCATCAACGACCGTAACCGCGCATTCTCGTGTACATCCGTCAGCCTCGTCCAATCTCCGTGTAGGGCCCTGGCCATTTGCTCCTCAAAGGAAGCCGCCGCCAACGTGGTCGTGGAAAACTTGGTGCAATGCACGGCCTCTTCATACTTCAACAAATCGTGGGGTAGGGCAGAACCGCGCGGAGCATACGGTGCAAGCGGCAGAGCGATCGTCGTAGTAACGGCACCCGCATAACAAGCCTATGGCCTCGGCCCAACCCCCAGCTTGGACAAACTTGTATGCTCTACGCGTCAACGTACCAGCGTACATCGTCTCCGCAGCAGGACGTATGGCATTTGCGTGTAGCTGCATCAGCTGGGGGTGGTCAGGTGGGACCGTCGTGAGAATAGATCGAATCAGACCGTAACTTTGAATACGGGCCACAGCGCAAAGGCGTAATGACGCCTCCCATCCCATCGCGCCAACACAATCTGAGCGCGCAAGCAAGGCCGAAATCGCCTCATGGGACTCCCATTTTTCAAATGTCCTCAGTGCATGGGACCAGTGTGGAGCGTGCGCAATCGCCTCGGCCACGCTACGCGGTTCTATTGGTTCTAGGCTAGCAATGGCGCGAAGCCACTGGCTTGTCTGAGACGTGTAGGTTCGAAAAAGTCGCTTCGCAGAGGGGCGGACCTCACGCACGGCATTCAGCACAGACAAGGCAACACTCCATTGACCATTTTGAGCATGCAGCATGGCGTAAGCAAACGAGAGTGCCTCTCTTTCTCTCCTCGAAACGGTGATTGTGTTCGACAGCGACAGAACCCGACAACATTGCAACGCAACTTCTGGTTGGCTTCTCCCAAGTACATAGCACCGCATTAACACCTGTGGTGTGACAGGCAGTACACCGCCTAGATGCGGACGCTCCCGCAGAGCGGCATGAACGAGGGTGGTGAACTGGACCATGGTTTCTGTCACCAGCAGGCGAGCGTAGACCGCCGACAGCTCCGTTGCAGGCTGCCAGGCCTCCGCCATGAGGGACGGCAGGTGACGCCATGATTCCGCGCTGTTGAGGCTTTTTTGAAGGAAACGTCTCTGATCTGGTGAAAGTGTGTCCCACTGGGCGTCCATCAGAGACAAGCAGTCGGCCCACTGAACCTCCTGATGGGCCAACGTTCTCCAAATCATTACCGAGTGACTCTTCGTGGCCAGCGGCGACCTCCCCGACGCAGTCGCGGCAGCGCGCGACTCATCCACCGTCTTCTGTAGCAGCTGCAGCGCCGCCCTCCTTGTCAGCGTTTGTGCACCTTGAAGGTATATTCTCCACTGAAGCAGCAGGTCTTTCCACTGACATAGCCCCAATGAGTGCCGCATTTAGAATGCCCACACACATGTAGACCAAGGGGGCAGCAGAAAACAGAAGCTGGCCTCAGAAAGAAATAGATAAATCAGAAAACAAAAACAAAAAAAGCATGTAGACAAACGGCGAACCCAAAAAAAAAAAAAAAAGTAAAAGAAATTCAACAAAAGCATCAAGGAGGAGTCAGTTTGTCGGTGTGGGAAACGCAGAGGATAAGGGGAAAAATATATGTATGTTCTCAATGTTTTTTGATTGTGTGTGTGTGTTCTTTTTTTTGGCAGGGTCGCTTGTTACGTGAGAAATTCGTTAGGCTTCCAGCGCCTGATAAACTGAGGATCCACGTATTTCCAGCCTTTCACTACTGGATCGGACCAGCAAAGCGGTCGTGGGTTCTTGTCCCCGTGCGGGTGCACGCTATCTTCGTACAACCAGGCCTTTTCCAGCGGGGCGACACGTGTCTTCAACTTCCGGACAAAGTGACGGTTCACCTCGTCTTTCAAGAACCACCACATCAGCATGCACGGATCTCGCTCATACATGTCAGTCAAACGAATACGATACTTTCCGCCTGGGTAGGCCGTCTGCCAGGTGATTGGCACACGTATCCACTGGTCTCCTACCATGACCACGTCTTTTATGTTGACAATTATGACGTGATCTCCAGATATCATTCCAGGAGTAAAGTCTGGTCGATGTTGGCCAGTGATGTACTGCGCCGCAACGGCCGCCACACGTGGGAGCTGCTCACCCTTGGCGTCGAGAATCCACCAACGCTCCCCCTCCCGACACAGCCATTGCTTAGACATCTCATTGTATAGGGGAAGGCCCTCTGGATGAAGCTTGTGGCGCCGCAGCACACTTTTGAACGGCGCTGCAACAATCCTGCTGGCCCGCTGCATCCTCTCCCCGTATCAGGGCAACTACTGCACTTTTTGTTCCAGTAAGAATCAAGGAGGTAGATGGGTGAAACACAAGCACCACGCACACACATGCGGACACGGTGAGTAGGTGGGTATGGGCACAAAGGAAGTAAACAAACCCCAAAAAAACTGGGGTCAGATGGGTAGTGGCAGGTCATGCTCAGGGAAGCTGCACATCGGGAAATCTCCCTCCCTGTTATTGTGCCTCGTCGTGTGCAACATGTGGTTTTGCTTCTATCTAATCATGTCACCCACTTGCATTCTTTGTCCTGTTTTTTTTTTGCTTCTTTTTTATCTTTTTTTTGTCTACAGGCACATTCGCAGTTCACAGGCTTCCTTTGCACCGCACCGCTGCTCCCATATCCTCCTCCTTCTCACGTTTCCTCCTAGCATTATCTGTTTCGCGTCGCTTCGTCTCCCCCATCTCCCGGAGCGCGTCAAGAAGGCCACCTTACCACGCCGTGGCCCACCCCCCAGCCCTCCTACCACTCACTACGCCAGAACCGCACCAGACAAAGCCACACAGAGACACGCACGCAGAAAGATAATAATAGTCATAATAATAAACGAAACCTGTCATCGCCACACGCACGCTGAGGTACTCTCCACCACAGTCCCATGTCTTTTTCCTTCCCCTCCTCCTCCACCACCACCACAAGCGAGAAAACAAAAAACAAAAAAAAAAAAGGGATATCACCCACCCACACGCACACACATGCACGCCCCAATAAAAAGTGCGAGTAGAAAACGCAGAGTGGTGGTTTGGCTCCCTACAGAATGCAGATCACTGCAGGAGCGAGGAAAACGCATTGATGATATCCTCGTTTTGTTTCTTAAAGTATTCAATGTTGGCCTCCTTCCCATCGGCGGGGTCGCGGAACTTCATGTCCGTGAGTCCAGTGTAAATATGTGGTATCTTCTCACGGATGTAGTTCCACGTGATTTTGTGGTCGCCGGCAGACTCAGCCACAACGCGCTGGCTCTCCTCGTAGAAGGTGACAATGTTGCGCAGCATCCAGCATGTCTTATACAGTGGACAAAACTTGTCGTAGGGTGTAAATGCATTTTGCTGCAGGAACTCCTCACGAATGACCTTCGCCGTTTCGAGAATAATCTTGTCCGACTCTGAGAGCGAATCCTTACCAACAAGCTGAACAATTTCCTGCAATTCCTCCTCACGCTGCAAAATCTCGGCGACCACCGAGCGCAAACGCATGTAGTCTGCGTCGAAGGTGTTAAAAAAGGGTTCCAGCACCTTTAAGTACTTCGAGTAGGAAATCAGCCAGTTTACCGAGGGGAAGTGTTTGCGCTGCGCAAGCCGCTTTTCAAGACCCCAAAAGACCTGCACAATACCAAGTGTGGCGGATGTCACAGGATCTGAAAAATCTCCGCCGGGCGGGGAAACAGCACCCACGATGGTGACAGAGCCCTCACGCTTAGGGCCACCGATGCACGTGACACGGCCTGCACGCTCGTAGAAAGAAGCCAAGCGGGCACTGAGATACGCAGGATAGCCACCATCCGCAGGCATCTCAGCCAGACGACCAGAAATCTCTCGAAGGGCCTCTGCCCAACGTGAAGTGGAGTCCGCCATCATGGCAATATGCTTTCCCATGTCACGATAATACTCAGCCAGGGTAATGCCGGTATAAATAGAAGCCTCACGAGCAGCCACAGGCATATTAGATGTGTTGGCTACGAGACACGTCCGTTTCATAATTGACTCTTCACGGCCATCGACAACGGTGGTGAGAGTGGGGAAGTCCATTAAAACCTCTGCCATTTCGTTACCGCGTTCCCCACAACCCACGTAGATGACGGCGTCACTGTTCGAGTATTTGGACAATGCCTGACTAATGACCGTCTTACCACAACCAAATGCACCAGGAATGGAGCAGGTACCTCCTTGTACGGAGGGGAAAAGCGCGTCCAAGACACGTTGACCGGTAAGCAGTGGATGATTCCCGGATTCTTTTGCCGCCACCGGGCGTGGTGTTCGCACGGGCCAACGGTGCATCAGTTTCAGGCTTCGCTTTTTCCCATTGTGCTCGAGCTCCACAACTTCGTCCACAAGTGTGTAGTTACCAGAAGGCTGAACCGACGTCACCCTTCCTTGAACATTGGGAGGCACCATAATAGAGTGATCGTACATGAGCGAATTCTCCACAACAGTTCCGAGAACATCTCCACCCGTCACCAGGTCTCCCACCTTCACGCGTGGCTTGAAGTCCCACTGTTTTTGCTCGTTGAGGGCTTTCACCTGAACTCCCTTAGGAATAAACACATTTCCCACCATGCGGTAAATTGTGTCAAGTGGGCGCTGAATACCGTCAAAAATCTCTGACATGATACCAGGGCCAAGCTCGAGTGAGAGCGGCTTCCCCGTACAGTGCACCGGGTCCCCAACTGTGAGCCCGCCCGTCTCCTCGTAGACCTGGATGGTCGCTGTGTCGCCCTCAAGTCGAATGATTTCTCCTACCAATCGAAAGGAACCTACCTGCACCAACTCGTACATTGCGCTACCGCTCATGTTCTCCGCGATAACGACAGGGCCGGAGACCGCCTTCACGGACCCCATGCGGTGCTCCGCCTCGTACAAATGATGGTTACGCGCCATCGTTCCTCGAAATGTCAATCAACGTAACTGATGCCTCAAAGTGCCTGTATTCGTCGTACACCCTTCGCTCGCTCCCTCGCACGTCGCTGTGTGTGTCGTTGCCGGCTGGTGGGTGAGTGGGTGGGTGGTTCGAGATGTGTAGGCAAAACAAACAAACAACAATAATAATAATAATAATATTTGTGGGTGTACCGACAAATATAGACACCCCTGTTTGCTACTATTATTATTACTATTCTCTGCTTTCTTTTCTCGATCCTTCGGTTGCCGCTCTGCTGCGCAGAAACACTTCTACTGATGAGCAAAAATAAAGAAAAAGAGAGACAAAGAGGAGGAGAAAGAGCGAAAGCAGAGGGGCGGTGCAGTGTATCCACGTCATCCACCGCACGAAGAAAAAAAAAACACACACGCACACACACACACACACACAAACAAAAAAAAAAAAACAAATCATTTAATGTCCCCTCTCTAGCTACGAAGCACACAAAATACACGCTACATTCAAAGAGACAAACAGATGACATATAATAATAAATGTTTTCCGCAAGTTTAACCAATGCTCTATTGTGCCACACAAACACACAATCATATGCATATATTGTCGCACACACATACAGGCAAAAAGAAAAACAAACTTGCAGTGCAGCGGTTTTGGCCCTAGCATGTCCCCTAGCAGAATTTTAAAAAAAGCGTCTTAGTCTGCTTTGATTGCATCATAGATGCCTCGTACAAATAGGGCAGATGCTAGAAACCCCAGTGTCCCCAGCGCTACACTCAGCAAAACCGAGACCCCCATAGTGTAGAGGCAATATAGCACAATGGAAAGCAGCTGACGGATCTCGAGCACCGCAAAGAGGTAGACAAGGCTGTAAAAGAAAAAGTAGAAGCCACTGAAAGCAGACGTCATAAAACTCACCCACCACCACTGGTAGTCCTCGTCGGAGAGCATCGTATACGTCACAACCACCGCCACCTCGGCGCAAATACAGACAATGACAAAGAGAATGGCGGCCAGGTAACCAAAATAATGAAACGGTTCCCCTCTCCAAAACGAGCCCAAAATGTAGACAACCTCTACAAAAGCTGCGGTGAAGGGAATAATCCCGGCCCCAACAACGTAAAGTAAACGCTTACCTACATTCTTCTCTGGCACAATGCGCGGGATACTGCTCACCTTCACCGGCACGCTTAGCACTGCCGAACGAAACCCAGTGGAGAGCCCCAAGAAGGACAGTGGAATGGGCACGGCAATCCACAAAAAGAGAACTCCCAGAAGCGTTGTAAAGGGAATGGCGGTACTGGCATGTTTTGCCCAACTGATTAAGTTGGCAAAGAGATATGTACTCAACAAGCATACAGGAACCAGATTGACCGCAGTGAACCCATTTTTCCAACTTTGTTTACGGAAAAACTTAAGCATCCTACCAGCCACATAGCCAGAGATGCTTCCGGAAAAGCAGAAGAAAATGATGAGGCTTGTTAACAGGTTACCACGCTGTGTTGGATGCACAACGCCCAGAAACGCCGCAAGCACCACCACACCTGCCATAAAAACCACTTGGCAGCCAGTAGAGACCAGGGCAGTCAAAAGAAAAGCCCCCGGTGGTGCACGGAATACGTCACCGCGCACAAGTTTCCACCCGGATTCTTCTTGATTCTCCTCAGCCAAACTGGCATCTGCGTAGCTCAACAAATCTTTGCGAACGGTGCGTGCCAAAATAATCATGACAATCGTTCCCAGGAAAGTTAGTAACGCGAGGGAATTCAAGATTGCCATCAAGTGTCCTCGTTTTCTTGATGGATTACCTGCACGAGCGTATATATCCCACCGCGTCGACAAAAACCCATCCGCGTTCTCCGTATCTAATTCCCATGACAAAGAATAAAAGTACTTCAGGTCCATCGTTTCAGGGGTCACGGGTAGAATCGACCCCTCAGCCGCCATCGCCGCATCTGGACAGCCTGTGAGTACGTTGACGGAACTTGGTGTGACGTAAAAACCAGTAATCATGTGCTCGCCATTCCCCAACGGCCTGTGAGATACCTTAAAATTCAGATAATTGTGAATGATCGTCGTTGTAGATCCATTTTTCGCCGCGGGTACACCAAGGCGGTAGCCAACGCGGAGACGGGGATTAGCTGCACCAGCACCGGACCTTTCCAGAAGTGGGATATCGTCAAGAAACATGTGGGCACGATAATGCTGGTTAATGAGTTTCTTGAGTCGGTTCATTTCCTCAGAGGAATACGCCACAAAACACACCTCCCGACAAGTAACATTTTCTCCAACTTTCACAGAATACATGGAGGGTGAGATGCGGTTGCCAAGAATAATCTCACCAAGGTTTTCGTGGACGTGTTCATCCTTCATCCGCCGTGGATCGGGCCGACAGGTCTTCACGAAGTAGAAATTGTAGGGAAGCAGGCCTCGACTAGACGTCAGCGAGTTCACCGTAATGGGAATATCTGTACCTATTCGGTACGTAACGGGAGCAGCGAGATGCTCAAAAAATGTGCATGACGCCCTAGGTGCAGTAGAAGCAAGCAGTAACAGCAGCAGAGTGAAGTAGACCAAACGAGCCATCAAATCCGCCCTGTTCTCTCCCCTCAAAATTGATCTTCTTCCCGTTTGCGTATATTATATATATATATATATATATATCCTCTTTGGGGCGCGTGTGTGTCTTTTATTGCTACTTCGCCCTAATCGGTTAGTTGCTTCTGATGTTGTTGTTTTGTGGGTTTTCTTTGTTTTTCTTCTCTTTTCAATGATGGTAGTAGTAGTAGTAGTATGCTCGCTTGTTTGCTTGTGCGCGCGTGCTTGATCGCTCGTCTCCACTAAACTCCTCTGCAAGCAGGCGACGGCACAGGACGCCAAGCGGAAGAACAAAAACAGAGACAAACAAAAGAACGATGACGGGGCAGTCACGTGTCGAGGGAGGAGGAAGAAGGCGACAGGAGAGTCAAACAGCATGTGGCTGCATACGACTCCCACTGCCCGACAGCGTCGAGAGGAAAAAAAAAATGGAGCCAAAAATAAAATCGGGAAAAATAAAAACACCAAATAAATAACGACAGCCTTGGCGATGGATGGTTCCCATTTAGTACGGGATCATGGCCTCGTAATCGGCAGTGCGGCGGGCCAGCACCTCCACATTCTTCGGGCGAACAATGCCGCCGTTGCGGGAGCTCTTCTTCGGGGGAGGGAGCGGCTTGCCAGCCTTCTTCGCCGCCTGGAAGGCCACAAAGTCCTTCTGCTTCTGCTTGAAGGCCTCCTGGCAGCGCGACTTGCGCACGTGCTCAAAGCGCACGCAGATGCGCTTGCGAATCGTGCGGTTTCGGACTGGCTTGTTGACAATCACGCCAACGCCACGAGGGGTGACGTTCCAGACAATGCCCGTGCGGCCGTGGTAGTACTTATGCGGCATCCCGGCCCGCACGGCGGAGTCCGCCACGACGTCGACGTAGTCGCCGACCTTGAAGTTCGTCAGCAGGGTGCTCACGGACGGCACCCCGTGCTTGCGGAACTTCTTCGCGAAGAGGTGG